ACATGTCAAGATAAAATAACTCCAGGTCTTTTATATTTTACAGTGAACCAATAACTTACATTGCTATTACTAAGGGATGTCAGTTTCCACTTTCTAAGAAATTTAATTACATTCGCTCTTCTCCAATCATTAATCCCCTTTCTATCCCATTCCTAGTGTACAAAGAAAAATGTAAGTGAACCTGCAATGACTTTACCTGAGTTCTTAAGCAGAATACCGGGTTACCTATCTACTTTAAAGAAATAAGCTTGGCTTCACTGGCAATGGGGATGGTTGGAACTCAGACCTGGGTGGCTTTTTAGGATCCATTATGATTGGTTATCAGCTCCCATAGCATTCTGTACTTTTCTTTCAAAATATTTACCAGTTCATAATTATATATTGTATGATAATATTAATGTCTTTCTCTTGCACATGACAGTAAGATCCATGAGAGTAATGTCTATTTTTCCCACCAATGTGCATTCCAGCACCCAGTTCAGAAGGTGGCTAGAATGTATTAAGTGTACAATACGTCTTTTATTGAAAAAAAAAATAGAAAATACTACGATTTTACATTGTTTTCAATGAGTACTTAGAAAATGGACTGGCTGGGTGAGGTGGCTCATGCCTGTAATCCTAGTAATCCTAACACCCTGGGAGGCTAAGGCGGGAGGCTCACTTGAATCAGGAGTTCAAGACCAGCCTTAGCAAGAGTGAGACCCCATCTCTACAAAAAATGGAAAAATTAGCCAGGCGTGGTGGCATGCCTCTAGATCAGCTACTTAGGAGGCTGAGGCAGGAGGATTGCCGGAGCCCAGGAGTTTGAGGTTGCAGTGAGCTATGATGAAGCCACTGAGAATATGGATCAGTGCCAGTCACTTGGTATGTCCCATGTAATAAAATTCTACAAAAGGTATCTGTGAACAATTCCATAATTGGTAACATCACATTTCGAGCACATCTAACTTTCCCTATCTTCTTCATTTTCTTCTTTCCAGAGGTTAGTTGGTTTCAGGCCAAAGTTTACCTTCTCTGATGAGTATAGAGTAAAACCCTTTTGCACATTATATTAGGAACATTCCATATTTTGTTTTTTATAATTCAGTTTGTCTTTCAAGCCCAACCGAAAATTTAGAACACCAGAAAACAAAAACTTTGTTAGAAGCATATCCCTTAACCTGTTGCATCAGTCATATAAATGTAGTTTTTTCTTTCTTATAAAACCCTTCCTTTTCACGTCGTGTGAGCCATCTGAAAGAAAGGAGTCATCTAATGGCATGGCAGGGGTTAGTTGACAGTGATAGTTTTCAAACTTGAGTGTGCATCAGAATTATCCAGAGGACTTGTTAAAGCACAGATGGCTGTGCTAACACCCAGTTTGTGATTCCATAGGTTTAGTGTGGGGACCCGAGAATTTGTTTTTTGTTTTAATAGTTTTTTGGGGGTTTTTCTGAGACAGAGTCTTGTTCTGTCACCACAGCTAGAGTGCAGTGGTGTCATATACCTTACTGCAACCTCAAACTCCTGGGCTCAATCGCTCCTCCCACCTCAGCCTCCCAAACAGCTGGGACTATAGGCATGCACCACCTCACCTGGCTAATTTTTTTTCTATTTTTGGTAGAGACCAGAGTCTTGCTCTATCTAGCTCAGGCTGGTCTCAAACTCCTGAGCTCAAGTGATCCTCCCACCTCAGCCACCCAGAGTGCTAAGATTACAGATGTGAGCTACCACACCCAGCCTTCTTTTTTTTAAGAGATGGTGTTTCATTCTGCTACTACATGATTATAGCTCACTGCAGCCTTGAATTTTTGAGCTCAAGTGATCCTTCCACCATAGTCTCCCAAGTAGCTGGGATCACAGGTGTATGCCACCACACCCAGTTAATTTTTTTTGTAGAGAAGGGGAGGGGGGGTCTCAAGTCTCACTGTGTTGCCCAGGCCGGCCTGAAACTCCTGGCCTTAAGTGATCCTCCCACCTTGGCCTCTCAAGGTACTGGGATTACAGGTATAAGCCAGCATGCCTGGCAGAGTTACTATTATATTTTTAACAAGTTCCCAGGTGATGCTGATGCTGCTGGTCTGGTGCCCATACTTGTGAAACTCACTAGAAAATAGTTGCTAAAAGGTCATCTTGCTTTGTGTGGGCTCAATACCTGCAACACTCTTGTGGAAACGATTTCATAGAGAAAATGATAAATGGTTAGTAGAGAAGATAAGTTATCAGAAGGTGACATACATTATGGGATACATTATTAAATAACAAGCTTGCTTTTTATCCTTGGGTTTTTTTGTTTGTTTTGTTTTTTGCAATTAAGCTTCTTCAGGAATTATCTTGTTTCACTTGTTATAACTAAAAATCTGAGAGGAAAAAAACTTATATTTTGTCCTCAATAATAATCACCTCCATTGCCTCCTTGCCCTTCAGTACTCCAAGCAAGCCTGTTGAGTCATTATTTCTTTATCTGTAGAAAGGCACATAATAGTGCCTATCTCAGTGACTGGCTGTGAGGATTAAATGAGACCCTAAAGGGAACTACTTGGCACTGAGAATGGCCTGTAAATGGTAGCTACTATGTTTTTACTAATTTAGCTACTAATTTAAGGAAATAAATTCCAATGGTCCAGGAATCAGTGATCCAAACTACTTAACTCTCTTAAAATCTCTAATATATTAATTGATCATTGATCACAGAGATAATCCTGAAGTTGTCACATACACACAAAAAAGGTTATGATGTTCCAGGTACCCTGCTTACTGTGGCAAAGAGCAGTTTGATTTGGAAATGTTGACACTGGCACCAGGCACCAGGGCAGCATTCCTCCAATTAGATTAGATTATAAATAAGAATCACCTGAACCACAACTTAATTTACAAGCTCCCGAGCTCCACCCTACACCAATCAAAACCATGTCCTGGGGAGAAGCCTAGGAATATTTAAATAATCGCCCGAAGTGATTTTCTCTGATCAACAACTTTGAAAAACACTAAAGAGACCTCACACCCCATTCTAATTATGGCTAAAGCCCTCAACATCATTTCTATGTAATCGGTAGGCCATTGTGGACTAGAAAATTTCAGATGTCCTTTGACTTAGTAATTTTGTTATTTTGAGTTGAACTGAAAGTCCCTTGAAGAGGTCAATTGGAAACGCGGGTTGTTTGAGCTTTGGAAAGGCTCTCAGTGTTTTGAGGTAACTCTCCCTTTCCTACTAGCCGGTCCCTGTGCCTCCTCTCTGAATTGACTGCCTAATGCCTCCGTCTCTCGAGCTTCCAGCGGCCCGGCCGGTCTCCTCCGGCTCCGTCTCCTTTCTGATCTCGGCCTCAGGTCTGGCTTGTTTGTCTCTTCACTGCATTTCTTGAGTAGAACATTTGGTGCTTTCCCAGTGCACGATGCTTTACTGGAATAGTCAATTTCCAGGGATTTTACAGGCTGGCCAAAACAGTTTGTTCAGAACAGCGACGCCGGGCCGAGGGCTGGCGGCCGGTCGGCCGAGCGTTCCCTGACTCTGCACAACCACTCGTGACCTTGGCGGGCGGCCGCCGCCAGCCCCGCTCCTCCCGGCCGCGTCGTCAGCGCAGTGCCCAGGCTGCACTTTGGAACTGAAAAGGGCGGGTGCGGACTGGAGAGGTTTCGCAAACATGAGAAAAGGCCCAGAAGCCATAAACCGGGTCTTTTTCCTTTCCGGAGGCGAATCCTTGTTTAAAAAATAAAAATAAAACTACTTGGGGGAGGGGAGGGAAATATCTGCCCGGGGCTGGAGACAAAGCGTGAGAACTCAGATGGCATACAGCGGCTAGAGTGAGAAAATCCGAAGGAGGGAGGCTGAGAGCGAACAATTGGGTTAAAAATAGAAACGTAGCCTGCTCAGGACTCGCTCTTCCCAGCCCCACCCAGAGGCCGGCAGCCCGGCCAGTGACTCGGCGCCGCGCGACAGCGGCGCGGTCAGGCGCGGCCCCGCCTCCGGGGCCCAGTGACTGGCTACCGGGGCGGGGCCTCGTGCCGTGACGTCACCGCGCTCCCCGCCGCCGCCGTCGGGGTTTTCGCTGACGCACAGGCCCCGCCCCACCCCCCCTTTTCCCTCACCGCCCGAGTGCCGGGCGGAGAGAGCGCGTCAGTCGGCCGGGTCGCGGAGCCGTCAGCATCTCGGGCACCGGCTCGTCCGCTCCCGGGCGCCGCGCAGCTTTTCTGGTGGTGGTTGAAACGACGGACAGCGCCATCAGTGGGCCTTCACGGCGCCCAGGCCTCTGCACGCCCTCCGCTCATCCCCCTGGCCGGCCTATCCTGCCGCCTGTGGAGGCGTGAGGCGACGGCGGGCGAGCGCCTCGAGCAGCGTTAGCCGCTGCGGCCTCCGGTCCTCCCTCCGCCTCCTCCTCTGCCCCCCCGCCTCCCTCCTCCCACTTCCCGAGCTCCGGCGTGTCCCGGCCACGCTCGGCGCTGCTTCAGGAACAAAGGAAGACCCCGCGGCGGCGGCGCCTCCTCCGCTTGCGGCTCGGACCCGCTCCAGGCCAGCAGCGGCGGCGGCTCCAGGGGGCCCGGCTCGCCCTTCCCGGAGGCCTCGGCCCGGCCCCACCGCGCCGGCGTCTCGCGCGAGCCCGGCTCCTGCATTTGGGTTCCCACAGAGTGAGTGGTGCGAGGCTGGGGGCGGGAGCCCTGTTTCTCATGCCGGGCCGGGGGCGGGAGAAAGGGGACCGGGACGCCGCGGGCGTCCGGCGAAGCTCGAGCAGGCCGCAGATGGCGGCGTCCGGGGGAGGGGAGCACCCCCGCCAGCTCAGGAAGCACAAAGACGGAGGCGTCATCCTGTCGTCGTGGCCCGAGACCTGGCTCCCCGCACCTCCGGCTCACTCGGACCAGCACGGTCAGGGAACAATGGCCGGCGTGCAGCCTCCGCGGTGCCGGCTCCGGGCCTTGCGTCCGCCCTGGCTGCCCTCGGCGGCGCTGCTGCCGCCGCGGACAGCCTGCCCCGGAGAGACAAAGAGACCGAGACGGCGGCCGCGCCCCCTGCCCGCCGTACCCCTTACCTCTCCCCCTCCTCAGACGAGCCATTTAGGGTCGGGGGTCGGCCCGGAGCCGGCGGGTGTGGGGCCGGCCGGGCCTGCGGAGCTGCTGTTCTGCATGACTCAGTGGTTTTTGGAGGAGGCCCTGCTGGGCTTTCCTGAGTGAGGCCTTTGCACGGAGGGGGATGGGGCACCGGTGGGACCCAAACTTGTTCCAAAATGCACTGGAACGTGGGATTGGGGGTTCTCGGTCGTTGTGTTTGTGTTCCCGATATCACTGCGTTTGCCCCCCAAGATCTCTTGCATGGAGGAAATGGAGCACCTTCCCCTTTGTTTTGTGCATTTAGGCTGGTGAACGTGAAATTTTTTTGCCTACTTGCACGCACTTCGTTTAGCTGTTTTGGAGAAAGGGTTGACTTATCTTTATTGATTGTCTCCTATCTAAGGAGATGTTAAGGTAAAGTAGTATATAGGTCATAGAGCCCTGTTCTTGAACCCAGGATTCAGGTAATTTACCAACTTCTAAAATTTAAATGCATTTTATTTTACTCCTTATTTTTTAAGGTGGTTTTTTAAAGTAGGATTTCAGGACTCAATTGGTGAAAATAGTGCAATTTATGTTTCTGGGTTTTTTCTTAGCCCCCAAAATTTGAGAATTTGTGGTTTGTTCTCCCCTGTTTTTTGTCTCGGACCTGATATTAAGTCTGAAAAGGAGTCTTTAAAAATCAGTCTACTCTATTTGGCAAAGAGGGTACTGAGATCTGGAGAGTAAGGACTTGCCCAAGGTCACTGACTTAGTGGCAGGTTAGAGACTAGAATTCGGGTCTCAACTCCCAGGTGAGTAGGCTTTTTTGCTGTCTTTTAACATGGTGTGCCACCTGAAAAAAATACATTCCATAGATGTAAAACCCCTTATTCTGGTTTGGGGTTGGAAGAATCATTTATTGTTAAACCAGGGTGGTGGTGGGTTTTTTTTTTAAGTTGTGAGTTAGAGTAATCCATGAACTTTATTAAAATATTCATTCCAACTATTCCTTGATAGTGCATGCTTGTGTCAGCACTAAGTTTCTAACTACTTTAAAGGTACGAAATAGAAATGGTATTGTATTTTTCTAAAATGGAGACAAGTAGGAGGAAAAGACAGTACCTAACGATGAACACGGATTCCTCCTCCCCCCATCACTCCTCAAATAATTACCACTAAATGTAAAATGTAAGGATTCTTTGTTTTAGTGCTTTCTCTGCTGTTTGGTTTTTTTCTAAACAACCCTGACCATGTTAGCTTCATATCATGCTTGCATCTTTATAGATTGAATGTAAGATTGTTCTCTAGTCTTCCATACATTAAAGGAAAAAAAAACTAGCAGCCTTTTTTGTTTTGTTTTCTGATTACATTAGATATATGAACGCTGCATCCTTAGTTCTTGGGGTTGTGTAGGAGTTGGCAGGCTCTGAGATATAAATAGAAGCTGATTTCAGAGGCCCCTGTTGACTAGGCTTTATGTGAGAGCCTCCATCCAGCTCAGCCTGTCACAAGGCTGCAATGTGACAGGCTGAAGCGCCCTCCCATGTGATCTAAGCTTCTGAGAAATATTAAAGCAAGCTGTGCACATGTGATGGCATTTAAAAGCTGGCTTTCTAGGGGAAAAGAACTTAAGATGGGAAGCTGTGTAGGAGACTCCAATGTCCTGGTGTCTTGTGTGTAAGTTGAAGGATATTTATGATAAATTGAAGACGAAAAGGTGGTCTGCTTTGTATGTCAAAATGGGTGAAATCATTAGATAGGCTCTCCACCATTTTATTTATCTAAAATGGATTTTAAGAATCAGATTAATCAGAATGATTTAGTGTGGGTTGATGAACTTAAGCATAAACCGGTTTGCATTTAAAGACAATGTCAGATGAGTGTATGTTAGTATAGAAAGTGTAAGCTAGAGTAATTCTTCAACTGGTTTTAAGGAATGGCCCAACTTTTTGCATAGGGCAAAGATTCACATACTGTGCATGGTGGGCATGCAAATAAATACCTCTTTTATTGTTTGCTCATTATCAAATTTTGCTCATTATACTCAACATTTAAAAACCCAGCTGAAAGTGTTTATTAATAAACTTCATAAGTGATGTTGAAATGTTTACAATACCCCACTTCAAAATGAGTCAGCTAAATTCCATTTACTATTTAAAGAGACAGTGTCGACCAAATTAATACTGTTGTTTGAAATAAGTTGTGTAGATCTCAGTTCTTTATACAAGCTTGATTGGCTTGAAATATTTGTATGCTGCACTTTAGCTAACAAAAGGAAAAGTAACTGTCATTTAAATGTTTTGGGGAATAATTATCAACATCTGGCCAGGTCAAAATTAGTTGGTCTCCTTCCCTCTTGGTAAAGAGTTAATACTTGTTAAAATACTGTTTTTAATAACTCGATAGAGTATATTCTAGTATGTGGTAGTTGAAAAATTGGCAGTTTTAGCACAGTTTCCCTTATCAAATACCCTCAAATATGCTTTTTGTACATATATACATATTTTAAGATGACAGGAAACCCTCCACAATTTTCTTTTAAAAATGATTTTTTCTTAAATGTTTTTCTATTATCTAGAGGAAAATGTATTAAATTTAGCTCAGCATTACTATATTTTGCTAACTTTAACAAAATCTCTGGAAAAGCAATGGTATATTTATTGTGTAAAGTTTTTTCTGGTAACCTAGCATTAAATATTAACTATTACTAAAGGTTATATATTTATGTTGCCTTTATTATATTTGAGCTTGGAAAGGTTTTATTTTCTGATTTGAGGAAGACAATTACTTGTCAAAATTAAGAGCCTTTGGCTGATAAATCGGGTTCGAAATTTGTGATTATAGGTTTCTAGGCATTAGCTGTAAAGTACTCTGAAATAGGTTTTCATATCTCAAATGTAGAACATCATAAAAGGAGTTTCAAAAGCAGCTGACCCCTAAATTCTTAAAGAACTTTACTTGTTGGTACTAGGGTAGCAGGAAGACCTACCAGCTCTCTTTTCAGTCTTTTATAAAGATACCTTATTTAAAGAGTATAGATAACATGCCTCATAGCAAAATTGTCAAATTATTGACAGATGGTTACGTGTTTCTTTTGTTTTGCTTTGTTTTTGCTTTTTTGCCCTGCTCCCCTTTAGGTGTTAATTTTAAGAAAGCTTTAGGGTTAGATCCAATATTCATTCAGTTGATATTTAGCAAGAGTCAGTGATGGTGGGTTTTTTCCATTCATAAGTTCCATTTAATATGTTTTTAGCCAATGAAGTAAAAACATTTGAAATGGTCTGCCTATAGTGCAGGAGAGCAGAAAGTAATTCAAAGATACCAATTTTCCAAATTTAGAGCCGCGTTGGTGGTATAGTGGTGAGCATAGCTGTCTTCCAATTTTCCAAATTTATTAAAACATAACCCTAATATCTGGCAGACTGATCTCAAAAATTAAAAATAACACATTTTAATATTTAATGATGGAAATTTTTTTTTAGTCCTAAAGCCCTTTGTTTTATAAAGGCAGCAAAATAGTCTTAATTATCTGTGCCCATTCTCTTTAATGATTAACACAGTTTGTGCCTTTGTTAGAAAAAGATTTGTTTATAAATAACAAAGGTACATTGGTGGCATGCTAATTTCTAAAGTTTTGTTTTGTTTTGTTTATAGCAGAAAAATATGGCTCAGGAGACTAACCAGACCCCGGGGCCCATGCTGTGTAGTACAGGATGTGGCTTTTATGGAAATCCTAGGACAAATGGAATGTGTTCTGTTTGCTACAAAGAACATCTTCAGAGGCAGCAGAATAGTGGCAGAATGAGCCCAATGGGTAAGTTGTTTCCAAGGAAAAACACATTTGAAGAACTGGTGGACAGAAAATATAGAACCAAGAATTGGGGCCAAAGACTGAGAATGCTGAATGCCCAAAAAGAGAAGACTTGACAAGAGCTTGAAATTAAAATAACAGCCCAAGTATTTGACCTGACTGCATCAAAAATGAATGACTATATGTACAAGCATCTTATAGCTTTTTCAGTTTTGTTTTTTTGGTTTGGATACTCAAGTGTAGGATTGCAGCACAGTGAAAGTGCTTAAATCACTAACCTAATTAAATGCAAGTATTTGTTGCTTACTAAATCTTGATACTAAGTGAATTTTTGTAGTGTTGATTGGTTCCTTACAAATCCTGTTTTTAAATAGGGACAGCTAGTGGTTCCAACAGTCCTACCTCAGATTCTGCATCTGTACAGAGAGCAGACACTAGCCTAAACAACTGTGAAGGTGCTGCTGGCAGCACATCTGAAAAATCAAGGTAAGATTGAACATTTTAGAATTTTTATGATACTGCAAAGAGGAAACTAAGATGTCTGTACAAATCATACAATAATAGAGATGTTAACATATCAGATGCTCTTAGCTTTGCATGTGTTACACAATCAGGAATTCCAGTGTCATTTAATATGATTCTTAGGTCTTTGAGTAAAGATGTGTATTAAAGTGTATTTCCTAACCCTGTCAAGGGTACTGTGTTGGAAATGCTGTGCTGTTTTTATTTGTAATTGAGATTTAGGGATTGTTGAGAGTGTACAGACTGTATTATAGTGCCACATAAGGTGTTTTGGCAAAGCTGCCTCTTTTGCTCTTACCCAAGTTACAGGCACAGCTAAAAATTCCTGTTGGTTATAATAGAATATTGTAACCTATACAAATAATGCAGCCTTGAGTTGATGAACCATTTATCAAATTGCTTTCTTTATTCTCAGTCATTTGTTCTGGGTATCCAATAACATCCTTTTTAAAATTTTAGGTTATCTAGCTCTATTTGATCGTGTTGGAAAAAATATATACTTTAAAGTTGAATTGAAAACTTACTATCTCAAAAAGAAGTACCCTTAACATCTTTAAAAATAACTGTTTGCTTGAACTCAAATAGAAATGTGCCTGTGGCTGCCTTGCCTGTAACTCAGCAAATGACAGAAATGAGCATTTCAAGAGAGGACAAAATAACTACCCCGAAAACAGAGGTGTCAGAGCCAGGTATGCTTTTTATTTAATACTAGTTCAGTTCTGAATTTGGTAGCATGAGAAAGGGTTGGTGGGA